CTCACACGCCATCTCTTACAACCATGTGTTTGTTCGCGGATATCCTCATAGAGGATCCCAAAGATCTTCAATCACCCAGAGGTGACACTATGAAATATTCCAGCCCACCAAGAACAGAAGAGTACATGTGAAGTGGAGTGACTGTGCTGGAGAATGCTGCCACCTGGGCTTGGGCTATGCCTACAGAAAGATTGTGGAATGCCATTCCTGGGGCTTGTTGTAGACTGAGCCGGACTCTGGAACCCATCCTTGGTGTCGGTGTCATCCTCCTCAGATCTCGGTGATGAGCACATGCTGCATTTTTACAAGCTTTGTAGGCTGCAGGCTATAAAACTACACAGCTTCAGACATATACAAATTCTGTGACTGACACCAATGAATTACAGCTAACTGCTGCTGACAGAAATCATTACAGGAACTCCCCTGCAAACTATCTGCTGCTGAAAGTGTATCCAAAGCCAAGAACAAACATGTAATATACTGCTGCTGACCAGGCCGTAGATGTGCAGCTCTATTCATCTTGAAAGCTACATGTAACTTTGTTCTGTGCAAATGGGGGCTACATTGAATGTTGCTAGGCTTTTTTCTTTCCAGGTTGAATGTTATTCTTTCATATAGAAAATTAAATCAGGAAAATACCGCATTATGACCACTAGATGGTGCTGATGATCATTGAAAAAATATCTTTATTATGATTTATCAGCTCCATCTAGTGGCCATAATGCGGTATTTTCCTGATTCATACTATCCTTATGAATGAAGAACATCCAACCTGGAGAGAAAATAGTTTAGTAACATTCAGTTTTGCTGGCGTCACACAGATCAAATGTCCATGCAGTTCACTGGATGTATAAATAGACCCCCACAACGTTTTCACATTTTCTATGTGTTTGTTACATGGTTGCATTGCTTGGACCAATGTAACTATGGATATTCCATACCTGTCGGGTCCCTCTACAAGCTGGCAATCCCTGAAATGAGCACAGGAGGTCACAGGTGCCATTTGGAGAGCACTTTGCATTTTTTCAATGAATGCAAAGTGTTCTCTGATTAGACAAGTTGGAGAGGTGGGGAGGTGATGTCACGATCCCCACCTCATCCAATCAAAAAATGCTTTTCACATTGAAAAAATGCAAAGCGTTCCATTAATGGTGCACATGCTCAGTGAGCGACCTCCTGTGTTCACAATGTAGCAGGGCAGCCACTCAGCATGTGACCTGGATGCTAGTGGAGATCACTGGAGTAGCGATGTCTACTGCAGATATTTCCATTTTCCAGAGACGTGGTCTCCAAACTGCGGCCTGGGGGCAGATGCAGTCCTTTGCTTGCCTTTATCTGGTCCTTGGGATACTATTCCATCCACTGACACCAACTATGGGGCACTATTCCTCCCACTGACACCAACGATGGGTAAGAATTCCTTCCACTGACACCAACGATGGGACACTATTCCTCCCACTGACACCAACAATGGGGCACCATTCCTCTCAGTGACACCAATGATGGGTCAGAATTCCTTCCATTGACACCAACGATGGGGCACTATTACTCTCAATGACACACGCAATGGCCACTATTCCTCCCACTGATACCAACAATGGGGAACTATTCCTTCCACTGACACCAATGATGGGTAAGAATTCCTTCCATTGACACCAACGATGGGGTACTATTCCTCTGACTAAAACCAACAATGGGACACTATTCCTTCCACTGACACCAACAATGGGGCACCATTCTTCTCACTGATACCAACAGTGGAGCACTATTCCTTCCACTGACACCAACGATCGGTACAAATTCCTTCCATTGACACCAATGATGGGGCATTATTCCTCTCACTGACACCAATGGTGGGTAAGAATTCCTTCCATTGATACCAATGATGGGGCACTATTCCTCTCACTGACACCCAACAATTGGGAACTATTTCTTCCACTGACACTGACAGTGGGGCACTAGTCCTCCTACTGACACCAAAGATAGGGCATTGTTTAGTTGTACTGGACACCAGAACATTTTCTCCCACTGGCCACAGTCTAGTCGTTCTAAAGTCTGAAGGACAGTAAACTGGCCCTTTCTTTTTTTTTTATAACTATTGTTTTTTATTGGTCATTTGATTGTTTACAGCAATTAACAGTATTGTCGCAATAATGTATTACAGATTTGTAAAGGATATAGATAACAGAGTATGAGCATATTCAACATCTTACAAAATTCAGCTTTTAAACAATGTAGTTTTGTAGTCATTACTGTCATCAATACATTTCTTTTTTTTTGATGAGTATACATTGTTTGTTTGAAATATTCAGTAAATCATTAGTTTAGAGAAGAAAGGAAGGTTGTGAGAAGTGGAGATTAGAGATTAGAGAGAAGTAGAATAAAGAATGAGATTTGAAGTTATTACATTTTTCCTTTTTTTTGAATAATAGGGTGATAATAATAGAGTGGAGTAGCTGTATCTCTAGAGGTGTTTGATTGGTACATCTTGTAGTTTCTTATGTAACGGTACATCGATGATCTTTGATCCATAAGTCCCAGTGTTTCCAGAATTTAGCAGATGAGTTGTGTATTTGAGCAAAGGTTTTTTCGAAGGCTGTGTTTTTGCTCAGGATTTCAGTTACTGTGTGAATGGATGGCATTGTAGTTTGTTTCCAAAGCCTGGCAATACTCAATCGTGCTGCTATCAAAATATGCATTAGTACAGTTCTGGACTGTGGTGGCCAGGAGTCTATTCCTATTCCCAAAAGTGCCAGGGCTGGATCAGGAATTGAAGATATCTGACCAGAATGGAGTAATTTGTGGACATTCTCACCATATATGGTACATGGTACAAGGATCCTTGTTGGTTACAGTTCCTCCAGCATAATGAGGAGTAGCGGTTGGATGAACGTGCTGCCAAATGTTGTGGAGTTATGTACCATTTGTGTAATATCTTTTGGGCTGATTCCAAACGGTTAATGCATCTGGTAGTTTTCCTAGTCCAGTTTCCTGCTGTTTGCCATTGTTGAATCTGGAATTGTTTCCCAATGTCTCGTTCCCATTTATGCATAACTGGCCCTTTTTTTTAGAAGGTTTGGAGACCCCTGTTCCAGAGGGATCCCACAGGTATGGTATATGCATAGCTACATCGATCCAAGCTGAATCAATGGGACTATGTAAAAAATTGTTATACCTGGGATTCAGCTTTAAATAACTATGTAAAATACAGGAATGGATGGAGTCAACAAATAATAATGCAAACCAAAATTTAATTATTTAAGAAGGTTTTGGCACAGCCATTCTCAACCAGGGTTGCCTCAGACATTGCTAGAGGTTCTTTGATCTGTGGCTGATTGACCTCCCATCTGATGGTGCCTGCATAGATTCAGGACCAATGCCACTTGACACAGCCAGTGGCATGACACCAATGGTCTTTGTAACTATCTGTAAAGAGGGCATTCTTCCCACTGACACCCCAATGGATGAATGAATTTAGCAGAGGTACCTCAATCCTGAAAATAATGTCAAGGCTTCCTCTAGAGCAGGGGTAGGCAACCTGCGGCTATCCAGCTGTTGTGGAACTACATTTCCCATGAGGCATTGCAAAGATTACAAAACTGACAGTTACAGCTATGACTTGCAGAGGCATGATGGAACTTATAGTCCTGCAACAGCTGGAGAGCCGCAGTTTGCCTACCCCCGCTCTAGAGGTTGACTTCCTTTCAGATAAGTTCCCACTGACACCCAATGAATAAATGAATTTAGCAGAGGTTCCCCAAGACCTGAAAAAAAAGTCAGGGGTTCCTACAGAGGTCTGCCTTTCAGATAAGTTTCCACTGACACCATTGTTCTTTTTAGTTATCTCTGAGGGGGTAATTCTTCCCAATGACCACAAGTCTAAGGAGCATTCTTCCCAATGACCATCACACTGATGTATCATGAGTTGTAGATATAGTCATTTTTGGCAGAGGTTCCCTGAGACCAGAAAGTTATTTCAGGGGGTCTTCTGTGTTGAAAATGTTGAGAAAGACAGGTCTAGGGTAAAACTATTGAGCAAGGCTATTCTAATATACAGCATTTCAAGGTATTCAGCATTCCAAAATCGAGTGTTAAAAATGTCATGGCAATCGAATGAAATTTTGCAGCTCTACACATCACCTTTCAAGCAAAATTTTGTGAGTCAGTAATGGCGCTGTATTGGGTTCTTTAGATGTAAGTTCTTTGAGAGCAGAGAAAGATGTCAAAAAAAAGTATGGGCGGCACTGAGGCTAAATGGTTAGCATTTCCACCTACCAGTACGAAGGTCATTGGTTTGAATCCCAACCACAGCACCACCTGCCTGGAGTTTGCATGTTCTCCTTGTGCCTCCAGGTACTCTGGTTTCCTCTTACACTCCAAAGACATGCTGGGCTCCTGTCTAAATTGTCCCTAGTATGTGTATGTATGAATGTGAGTTAGGGACTTTAGATTTTACGCCCCTTGAGGGTTAGGGACTGATGTGAATGTACAATATATATACAGTGCTCAGCATAAATAAGTACACCCCTTTTGAAAAGTAAGATGTTATTCAATATCTCAATGAACACAATTTCCAAAATTTTGACAAAACTGAGTTTTATAGAACATTTGTTTGGCTCATGACATGAAAGTAAGATTAATATTATAACCTAGATGACAAAATCTTCAGTTTTACTCCAATTAGTTGATGCAAAAATGAATCCACCCCACAACAAGAACTCCTCCATCTAGTATTTTGTATGACCTCCATGATTTGTAATGACAGCACCAAGTCTTCTAGGCATGGAATGAACAAGTTGGTGACATATTGTAACATTGATCTTTTTCCATTCTTCAAGAAGGACCTCTTTTAGAGCCTGGATGCTGGATGGAGAGCGATGCTCAACTTGTCTCTTCAGAATTCCCCATAGATGTTCGATTGGGTTCAGATCAGGAGACATACTTGGCCACTGAATCACATTCACCTGGTTCTTCTTCAGAAATGCAACAGTGGCCTTAGATGTGTGTTTTGGATCATTGTCATGTTGGAAAAGTGACACCGAGGGCACGGAGTGATGGTGGAATCTAGAGATGAGCGAATTATTCAAAAATTCGATTCGGCTGATTCGCCGAATTTGCGGAATAAATTTGATTCGCTGCGAATTTAACTTATTAAAAGGGTTTCTAGGCTTCAGAGAGCCTTTATATTAGTGCAGAACACTGTACCTTTAATTTAAATGCCATTGGAGTCTGCTGGGGAAGAGAAATAATACTGTCAGTCAGTATGACATGCAGATGAGTGCCGTCGATCTTAGAATCACCGCACACTTCACTCATTTGGGCAGTCACGGGGCACGACGAAGAAGATGAAGAAGAAGATGAAGAAGAAGAAGAAGAAGAAGAAGAAGAAGAAGAAGATGAAGAAGATGAAGAAGAAGAAGAAGAAGATGAAGAAGATGAAGAAGAAGAAGAAGAAGAAGAAGAAGAAGAAGAAGAAGAATGATGAAGAAGAAGATGATAAAGAAGAAGATGATGAAGAAGAAGAAGATGAAGAAGAAGAAGAAGAAGATGAAGAAGAAGAAGATGAAGAAGAAGAAGAAGAAGAAGATGAAGAAGAAGAAGAAGAAGAAGAAGAAGAAGAAGAAGAAGATGAAGAAGAAGAAGAAGAAGATGAAGAAGAAGAAAAAGATGAAGAAGATGAAGAAGATGAAGAAGAAGAAGAAGATGAAGGAAGAAAAGAAGATGAAGAAGAAGAAGAAGAAGAAGAAGAAGAAGAAGAAGAAGAAGAAGATGATGAAGAAGAAGATGACGAAGAAGAAGAAGATGAAGAAGAAGAAGAAGAAGAAGAAGAAGAAGAAGAAGATGATGATGAAGAAGAAGATGAAGAAGAAGAAGAAGATGAAGAAGAAGAAGAAGAAGAAGATGTTGATGAAGAAGAAGATGAAGAAGAAGATGAGGATGAGGAAGAAGAAGAAGAGGATGAGGATGAAGAAGAAGATGAGGATGAAGAAGAAGAAGAAGATGAGGATGAAGAAGAAGAAGAAGAAGAAGATGAGGATGAAGAAGAAGATGAGGATGAAGAAGAAGAAGAGGATGAGGATGAAGAAGAAGAAGAAGAAGAGGATGAGGATGAAGAAGAAGAAGAAGAGGATGAAGAAGAAGAAGAAGTAGAAGAAGAGGATGAGGATGAAGAAGAAGATGAGGGATGAAGAAGATGAAGAAGAGGATGAGGATGATGAAGAAGAAGAGGATGAGGAAGAAGAAGAAGAAGAAGAAGAAGAAGAAGAAAAAGAAGAAGAGGATGAGGATAAAGAAGAAGAAGAATAATAAGAAGAAGAGGATGATGAGGATGAGGATGAAGAAGAGGATGAGGATGAAGAAGAAGAAGAGGATGATGGTGAGGAAGAAGAAGAAGAAGAAGAAGAAGAAGAGGATGAGGATGATGAAGAAGAAGAAAGAAGAAGAAGAGAGGAGGAGGAGGATGAGGATGAAGAAGAAGAAGAAGAAGAGGATGAGGATGAGAGAAGAAGAAGAGGATGAGGATGAAGAAGAAGAGGATGAGGATGAAGAAGAAGAGAATGAGGATGAAGAAGAGGATGAGGATGAAGAAGAAGAAGAAGAGGATGAGGATGATGAAGAAGAAGAGGATGAGGATGAAGAAGAAGAAGAAGAAGAAGAAGTAGGATGAAAATAAGAAGAATTCCAATCCAGCAAAAAGTGTATCTGCAGAGAGCTCCGCTATTTCTGACAGTTCTCTGACAGTTCCTTCACATTTACAGCGGTTGAAACATTGTATCTATTTGTTTCCGAATAAAAACATCTGTATCCTAAATGGAAACAAATAGATACAATGTTTCAACCGCTGTAAATGTGAAGGAACTGTCAGAGAACTGTCAGAAATAGCGGAGCTCTCTGCAGGGACACTTTTTGCCGGCTGTAGAAGGGATGAAAATCGGCCGATCGGGGAAAATTCGATTCGTGCATCCGAAGTTTGCTAATTTTCGGATTCGGCGCGAATCAAATTTTTCCTAATATTCGAAACGAATTCCACTTCGCCAAGTTCGATTCGCTCATCTCTAGTGGCATCTTCTCTTTCAATATAGAGCAGTACATCTGTGAATTCATGATACCATCTATAAAATGCACATCCACCAGCAGCACTCATGCAGCCCCACAGAAGGACACCGTCACCACCATGTTTCACAGTAGGCACCATGCATTTTTCTTTGTACTCCTCACCTTTGCAATGCCATACAGTATTGAAGCCATCAGTTCCAAAAACATTTATCTTGGTCTCATCACTCCAGAGTACAGAGTCCCAGTAGTCTTTTTCTTTTCCAAAACGGGCCCTGGCATATTCTAGGTGGGCTTTTTTGTGAATGGGCTTTAGGAGAGGCTCCCTTCATGGTCGACACCCATGCATGCCATTCCTCTGCAGTGTACGCCGTATTGTGTCACGGGAAATAATCACCCCAGTTTGACTTTCTACATCTTTAGCTAACTGCAGTGAACTTGCATGGCGATTTTCTTCAACCCTTCTCATCAGAAGAAGCTCCTATCGTGGTGTTAACTTCCATGGACAGTCTGGACCTGTTACAGGCCAGTCAGTCTAACATCAATAGTATGTAAACTATTTAAGGTGATGATAAGGGACTATATCCAGGAATTTTCTGATGAAAACAGTATCATTAGTAGTGATCAACATGGATTTACGAAATGTCTTTCTTGCCAAAACGGTCTATTAACACCCAGTTATGAGACAAAGGCAAAGGCCAATGCTCTTGAGACCCTACAAGAGCCATATAGTCACTAAGAATCAACTCAGGGTCAGTACTCACAAGTCCCCAGGACAGCTACACACCCTCCAGCTTCTTCTGTACATGGCCCAGTAAGGGAGACAGTCCTTTTCCAGACCAGATCCCTATAGTTAGGTCCCACAGCCAGCTCCTCAGCAACATCACTCCAGGCCCTCAGCCAGCTCCTCAGCGATATCACTCCAGGACCTCAGCCCTGACACCGCTGAGACCTCAAGAACAGCTACACAATCCACAGGCTACATCAGAAGGGCAGCACCCCCCCAAGGCTTGTAACCCTTCTGGGGAGAGGGAACAATTTCTTCAGGGCTTCAGCATATTTATCACCTCCCCAGCCACCTTCTGGACCCTCCTCTCCAGGGAATGGCCATGCCATAGTAAATATTCAGGCTGGTCATTTGAATCCCCCTCCCTATGTTCTGGAAACTTCTTCCAGAGACAGGGGGAAGCAATCAAACTCCTAGCCTGTGAAACCCCGAACAGGCCAGAACGAGGGATCACTGATCTCTTGACTAAAGAAGGAGCCAAATACTAAATCTGCCTAGCATCAAACGCTAGGAGGTCGCTACATCTGCTACTGTACCCAAGAGGAATAATATATTTATTCGAACCCTCTCTGTGATTCGTGATTGTTTACCACTAATAGTGTTATTAGAAACATTCTCCATTTTTTTAAAGGGTGTTATTATACAATCAATCAATTTAGTCACCAGTCACACCGCTGCGATTTAAAATCATGTGATTTGTGTGTTTCAGGTGCGATTTCTGAAGACTTTATTGTGACTAGTGAAGATTTTAAATGATTTCTTGCGATTTGCATTGCGATTTTAATTGTATTCTATGTATGTGAAATCACAATAAACTGCACAAAAAGGAATGCAGGAACTACTTTATGCAGAAAATCGCACATGTTAAGACTCTGACATTCACATTCATTAGGTGCGATTTCAGGTGCAATTTCAATTCGCAAATCACACCTGAAGTCTCACTGGTATGACTGGGCACTTAGTCACCAATCGCATCGCTGCGATTTAAAATAACGTGATTTGTGTGCGAATTCAGTGCGATTTCTGAAGACTGTATTGCGACTTGTGAAGATTTTCAACAACTTCTTGCGAGTTGCTTTGCGATATACAGTTGTGTTGAAAATAATAGCAGTCAGACTTCACTAACCGGATCAATCACTGTTTTTGGTAGAAATGATATCTCTACATGGCAAATAATTTCCTAGCAGGTGTAGTAGAGTAATAGAAATCCAACAGACCCAACAGTCATGACATGCATGCTGCTGATTCTGTGTCATTGAATCACTCATTGAAAGGGGCGTGTTCAAAATAATAGCAGTGTGGAGTTCTATTAGTGAGGTCATTCATTCTTTGAAAAACAGGTGGCAATTATTGCCCTTATTTAAGGAAGGAAGGCAGCAAGTGTTGTACATGCTGGTTACAGTGCATTTCTCTCTGAAATTCTGAGGAAAATGGGTCGTTCCAGACATTGTTCAGAAGAACAGCGTACCTTGATTAAAAAGTTGATTGGAGAGGGGAAAACATATAAAGAAGTGCAGAAAATGATCGGCTGCTCAGCTAAAATGATCACAAATGCTTTAAAATGGCAACCAAAACCTGAAAGACGTGGAAGAAAGAGAAAAACTACCATTGGAATGGATAGAAGAATAGCCAAAATGGCGCGGACTCAGCCAACAATCAGCTCCAGGAAGATGAAAGAAGGTGTGACGTTCCCTGTGAGTACTGTTACAATTAGAAGACGCCTATGTGAAGCCAAGCTATCTGCAAGAAGTCCCCGCAAAGTCCCACTGTTGGAAAAAAGACATGTGCTGAAGAGGTTACAATCTGCCAAAGAGCACATTGACTGGCCTAAAGAGAAATGACGGAACATTTTGTGGACTGATGGAAGTAAGATTGTTCTTTTTGGGTCTAGTGGCCGGAGACAGTTTGTCAGACGACCCCCAAACACTGAATTCAAGCCACAGTACACTGTGAAGACAGTGAAGCATGGTGGTGCAAGCATCATGATATGGGGATGTTTCTCATACTACGGTGTTGGGCCTATTTATCGCATACCAGGGATCGTGGATCAGTTTGAATCCATCAGAATACTTGAAGGGGTCATGCTGCCTTATGCTGAAGAGGAAATGCCCTTGAAATGGGTGTTCCAACAAGACAACGACCCCAAACACACCAGTAAACGTGCAACATCTTGGTTCCAGACCAACAAGATTGACGTTATATGGAGTGGCCAGCCCAATCCCCGGATCTTAATCCAATAGAAAACTTGTGGGGTGACATCAAAAATGCAGTTTCTGAGGCAAAACCAAGAAATAGAGAACTGTGGAATGTGGTCCAATCATCCTGGGCTGGAATACCTGATCACAGGGGCCAGAAGTTGGGTGACTCCATGCAACACAGATGTACAGCAGTTCTCAGAAACAGTGCGACTACAACCAAATATTCATGAAGTCATTCAAAGGAAAGCAAAATCTTCAAACATTTTTCAGCTTATATAGTGAATGTTTGAGTTTGTAAAGAAGAATACAAACACTGCGATTTTTTTGAACCGTCTAATATTCACTTTTTTTCCATTTTTTTAGAGGAACAACACAAATTTGATGTATTTTGCTCCATGTTTTGATTTGGAATAGAATGTGTCGTGTTCCCAATGCATTTGTGTGGATGGAAATAAAAGCTATTAGAAGGATTTTCAGCTTTATTCACTTTTTCAACACACTGCTATTATTTTGAACACAACTGTACATTATATTATTATTATTATTATACAGGATTTATGGCGCCAACAGTTTGCTCAGCACTTTACAATATAATGGGAGACAATACAGCAACAGTACAGTTCAATACAAGACGGTTAGGAGGGCCTGATCCTCGGAGCTTACAATCTAAGAGTGTATGTGAAATCACAATAAACTGCAGAAAAAGTAATGCAAGAACTACAGAAATCGTGATGAAGCAAATCGCACATGTTAAGAAACTGACATTCACATTCATTAGATGCAATTTCAGGTGTGATTTCAATTCGCAAATCGCACCTGGAAACGCCCCAGTATGACCGGGCACTTAGTCACCAGTCACACCGCTGTGATTTACAATCACGCAATTTGTGTGCGATTTCAGCGCAATTTCAGGTGCGATTTATAAAGACTTTATTGCGACTTGTGAAGATTTTCAGCAATCTCTGGCGATTTGTTTGCGATTTCCATTATATTCTATGTATATGAATCTCAATAAACTGCAGAAAAAGTAATTCAAGAACTACTTTAGAAATCGCGCTGCAGCAAATCGCACATGTTAAGACACCGACATTCACATTTATTAGATGCCATTTCAGGTGCAATTTAAATTTGCAAGTCGCACCTGGAAACACACCGGTATGACCGGCACTTAGTCACCGGTCACACCGCTGCGATTTACAATTGCGCAATTTGTATGCGATTTCAGCTCAATTTCAGGTACAATTTCTGAAGGCTTTATTACGACTTGTAAAGATTTTCAACGATTTCTTGCGATTTGCTTTGCAATTTCCATTATATTTTATGTATGTGAAATCCAGGGGCGGACTGACCATTTGGAAACTCGGGCACTGCCCGAGGGCCCGGGGTCAGTAGGGGGCCCCATAAGATGCCCCTGGTACCTTTTGCATAGGCTTTTTTGAGTTTGGGCAAGGACACAGGGGCCCCATGATCCCCTATTGCCGGGGGGCCCCATGAGTTGTCAGTCCGCCCCTGGTGAAATCGTAACAAAACTGCAGAAAAAGACACTGTTAACATTAAGACACTGAGATTCACATTCATTAGATGCGATTTCAGGTGCAATTTCAATTCGAAAATTGCACCTGAAATCGCACCGGTGTGACCAGCCACCAAGGCTGGCCATACACTATACAATTTTCTTGAGATTTTTGCTTTAGATTTACCAAAAACCATATAATAGGAGGTCAAACCTAAACAACACTGTCAGTTGTATCCAATTAGGCACGCCCTCGCACTACATAATTGAAGGTAAATCCAAAGGAAATTGTAAGAAAAGCTTTAACCACTTCCAGTCCGGACACTTTCCCCCCCTTCCAGTCCAGGCCAATTTTCAGCTTTCAACGCTATCACACTTTGAATGACAATTGCACGGTCATGCAACACTGTACCCATTTGAATTTTTTAGAATTATTTTGAGACAGACAAAACTTTATTTTGGTGGTATTTATTGACCACTGGGATTTTTATTTGTTTTGCTATATAAATGAAAAAGTCCAAACATTTTGAAAAAAAAAAAGTGTTTTTCATCATAAATCTTGGCCAAAATTTATCCCGTTATCTTTTTAGTAAAAAAAAAAAAAAAACAAATTAGTTCATAACCAAAAATGATAATTTTTAAACATTTTTTTTTTACATTTTTATTTTATTTTTTTTTATATTATTATTATTATTTTTTTTTACATACTGTCACCCTAGCAGTACAGTGTCACCATGGTACACTGTACTACTTCTGGGGGGTGATGAAGATTTTTTTTTTTTTACACTGATTGCTTTTACACCCATAAAGGCCGTAAAAGCAATCATTTCTCCTTCTCTCTGTCTGCAATTCTTGCAGCCATTGAGTAATACTGTGAGAGCTGTGATTGGTCACAGCTTGTCACATGGTACAAGATAGTTGTGAATAGCCCTGTACCATGTGACCTCTGTGATCATTCACAGATTTCACAC